GAATGCTATGTGCAGTGTAAGACACTCCAGGGTGGCATTCTCTGGGTGAAAATTAAAAGCATATTTGTAAGGTGATTAGCTGGATTTGTCAAAATAAACAAGCCTGTCTATATTCCTGTGATATTCCTTTGTAAATCTGCTTCAGCAAAACTAAAGTACTTCCATAAAACATAAAAATATGCATCTTTAAATAAAGGAAACTAAGAAAAGCCTTGCTATTTATAGGCATCGATGAAATCAGATAAACATGCATGATCAAATTCATCCAAAACAAAGGAATTGAGAACCCTAAACATAAAAAGCAAATCACTAGGAAGTTACGAAGATGAGGTTGCTCTATACCAAAAGTTTTATTTGTTTAAGTCCATGTACATTTATTTCTTTTTTTACAGGGTTGATTTTTCACTTTCCAATTCCCCCTAACCAAAATATAAAACTTACTTCTTGGCTTATTTATTCAGTCATTTAAAAACATATATGGAAACTCATATTACTAACTATTCTCTTCTCATTTATGTAAATCTATTTATATTAAGATACAAGAACATTAAAGAAATGCAGCTTTATAAAGCTGTGACACATGGGGGATTGCCTCCCCCTAAAGAACGTTAGTAATTATTGCAACTAGAAAATTCCAAACAGAACTGTTATCTTTATATTCTCATTTCTTCTATTTTACTTGGTATTCAAACTCATTATAGTTCTGTTAATAAGTGATAGTTGAGAGCAGTTTTCTGGTCAATTGACCCAATTCAAGTGGTAGCATGGAGTTTGTTCATGTATGCTTGTTTGTGTACTCTTTGTACCCGAAACAGAAACTCCAAGTACTCAGGGGCACTTTCAAAAAGCAATCTCTTTAAAACACTTTCACATACAAAATCCTTAGTTTCCACTCCTTGAATGTTATTCAAAAACAACTATTTTTTTAATTACTTAAGACAACTACATTCCGATATGAGTACTCCTAAAAAAACCAAAACTAAGTAATGAGTGAAAGTGGCAACCAAAGCCTTTAATTTGTCTAGTAGCTTAAACCACTGATTGATATTATCTACCAGCTTACTCTAACTGGTACTAGAAAGTGTCTAGAAAGATTTACAATTATGGCAAGAGAAGAAATATCCTGCTAGATTTGTAAGACTTAGGGGAATCTTTAATAATGATAATTCTGTATATTTCCAAGGCATAGCATGGTGGTTAACACTTAGACATACATCATACCCTTTCTTTAGAATCACACATAACTATTCTATTTTTTTAAATGATTCTCTGGAATTCTGAGAGGTCAAGTGCAGTGTCAAAGGTCACAAGGCCAGTAACTAACAAAGTCTGAAGAACATCTCGGGCCCTCTGACTCAGCCCAGAAGTCTACAGTGCCTTAATGTCTCAGAGACATCCTCTTTGAGATTCCTGATACGACTAATGGAAATAGGATTGGAATGTAATAATAAAAATGCTGACAGGAATTTAACTATAGCTGCCCAAATGGTACCATTATAATTATGCTTTATGATTTGAACATCATCAGAAAACTTGCTAATTTTAAATTTTACTAATCAACACTTCTTCTACTGCCATAAATTATAGAATGTTCTGCTTTGCAAAAACCACAAGATTTATCAAACTCCAAAGATCATATCTGTTGTAAGACAAAGTATACTCCAAATATTTCAGTGTATAACTGATTAATTTAAGATTTATATTTCAGAATCTTTTAATCTTCCAAAATGTTTTATCTATTAGTCAACCAAAATCATGCTGATTTCTTCAAATATATTGCAAACATAATAAATTTTTCATTTAAGCTTTTTCCTAGTTATAGGAATACTGTCACTATATGTCTGCTAAATTTCCTGACTTTGCTGAAGCAACTGGTCAGGAAACAAAATTAGTAGCTTCCATATTTATAAATGGTATTTCTTCTTTTTTCCCCAATTTTTCTAATCTAACCACATAACTCGGGCTGACAATATAGCAATAAAATAGAAGAATAGATATTATATTTTATATTACTCACTGCCTTCATGTTTAAATGCTTTCCTATTAAGCAAAGCTTTTTATTATTGATTTGTAGGATACTTAAGAAAAATGCCATAACCTGCCATGGTTACATAATCCTCTTCCTAAAGAAAGTAACAGGTTATAGGAGCCATTAAAATGATTGAAACTATCTTTCCTAATGTGAGTATAGGCAGTCTTCAAGTAAAAGGATAGTAATTACATATTTTTTTTCATGATCAGTATCTTTTTATACAGACTTCCTTTTCCATTTTGCTATTTTTCCATCTCCTACTTAGCTTAGAAAACCTGAGAATATGCCCAGTTTGGTAACATATGTGTGGCTTAAGTCAGAAAACAACTGAGGAAGTCATTTATAAAATATTAAAATAAGGGATACTGGAAAAAGAATTGCAGGCTATATTTCTGCTCATAGTTGAAGACTAACAGCCTGGAAGCAGCCGTTGTGTTACCCTGACCCCTGAAGGAAGGAATCAGGAGTTAACTTCACATTCAATTTCCTACACAATATAAACACCAAACCTCAAAATCCACTAGCACAATATATCAATGTTTGGGCATGTCCTGCTGAAATAAGAAAGTCACCTCAAATATCAGACCTCAAAATTTCATTCTACAATTCCACCATTCTGATTTGAGGTGAGCAATCCTTTTCAAAGTTTCTTAGTGGGTGTCTAGATCCTGCACCTGACTCTATGGATTGTAAGGAAATGGACAATGAGATATAAATGAAAAACAGAAAGAATCATATCATCTCCCTGAAAGAAAAGTCATTTAGCTTTCTTTGTAAATTAAATGTAAAAGAACTTAGGATATAGCACAAGTGGATGATAAGCTGCAATTGAAGAGGGTTAGAATGTCAGCAGTTTCAATTTTTGTTGAATGTGTGATCTGTTGAAAGGAAACAACAGATCCTAAAACAGCAGAAGGCCAAAAGAAGCTGATGTGCTCCTACTTTTAAAAAAACAGAGCTCCAAATTAAGCCTGAGGAAAAAATGACATTTTATTCTGCAGTATTCCTTCCTCTGTACAGTGAGCACAGCACATTTATCTCATCTCATGGTTAAAAGTCTCTGGCGACTGCAACATGTCTTTTAAAGCATTTGATAAGTAAAACTTGAAAATAGACTGCTTTTTATTTATGGCATTCATAATAATAATGAATTTGATGCCATTTATCTTTTAATTCAATAGGATAGTGTTACCTTTAAAGGTTTTTACTTCTCTTTTCCCAGAGGGTTAAAATGGCCCAGAAAGAGGTTGTCATGGCAAAGATAAAGGTACAAAGCGCTCATTTCTGACACACCATGGAAACAATCATCATTTTTTAATGAGAGAACCACCAGACTGAAATCTGCATCAAGCTCTACCAGAAAAAAATACAAGAGAGGACACTAAATTGTTATTATGTACACAGTCTTCATTTCAATGGGTTTAACTTTCCACTCAGTTCGGGTCACATATTTCAATCATAGGAAAAAGATCTATGACCTTGGCTGGAATCATCAGCCCCAGTCACTCAATGGGACACTTGTGAAACATTGCGGACACATTTTGACTCTCCATGGGTGTGGCTAAAATTGCTCCTATCCAGCCCAAAGCTTACATGATCTGTGCTATCCCTCAGAAACTCACTGAGAAAACTCATGCTAAATTCGCTGCAGAGATCAAGGTTTACAGGACCCTGGAGCTAATCTCTATCTGCCCTCCTCCTCTGTTAGCTGTTACAAGCCTTCAAAAGTTAACAGGGTGATGGAGCCTCTCTCTATACAATCATTTCATCTCACTATCGTTGACTGAAACTCACTGATGTAATGAAGTTACATAATCACCGATTATGCACGACTTCCATCCATCTTCCTACATATCCACATATCTTAACCCCTCCCCTTTGGATCAATCTACCAGGTGAGATTTATAACACATGAAAATGCTCCATTCTCTCATCATAGGTACTGAATATGGGACTTTAGCATTGCAGTACAGTGCACTGAACCACGTCATCAATATCGATTTTTTAACCCATTTCTCAGGCAGAATATGCTTAAGCATCCTTAGTGCTCTAGTCTCTAACTTTTCACCAAAAGGGTAAAATAGCAGACAGGACACATCTTCAACTTAAGGTTAAGGGAAGTGTGTAATTGCCTGCATTTCCCAAGCTGGCTGCATTGCAATAATAGGATCGTCTCTGCTTTCAGACCTTCTTCTCCCCTGCACGTGGGTCGCAGCTTCAGCTATTTAGGATACCGGGCAAATAATTACATTATTGGGCAATTGAACTTGAGAAAGAAAGCGCTATGGTGATATTTAAGATAACATCTCCCTCTTCTTCTGTATTTTAGTCATCATTTTCAGTTTTTTTCCCTTTTTTTCCCCTTTCACTCCGAGTGATATTCCAATAGATAGAAAAGTAGTGCGGGGCACTTAATAATCTCCAGTAACCACAACCCAGAGAACAATTAACAATGATTATCACCTTAAAGTTTAGGAACTTGACAAGTGGGATGTTCGTGGTCCCATTGCAGCTGTGAAATGCAGCAGAATGCTGCACTGAGTGGAAAACATATTTCTTTTAATGAATAAAGAGTAGGTCGTTTCATTTTAAATGGGGCTCTTCACTTAGTGTTCCTTTTACTGCTGCTACCCCTTCAGAACACAGGAGCCACAATTATTGCATCCAAACAAAGAGTGTCTACCCAGAATTAATTCAAAACACTCTTCTATATCAAAATAATTGGGGGGAGGAAGAGTGATGCTTTGATTTATTTTCAATTATACTCAGAATACAGGCACACGTACATACACACACGCACATGCACACACACCAACACACCCAACTGCAGTTATTCCATTCAGTGCCAATAACGGCCACATCACAGCCATCAATGCGATGCAGCAATCATCCAAGTCACCCATTCCTATTACAAATGCCCAAGTTTACTCACACCACTGATGGCTTTGCATATATAAAATGACCTTACCCACAACAGTCTTCCAAATTATTCTCCTCTGGATATCAGTGGGTAAGGTAATTGCTGGTCATCACAATGCGTATTCAGAAAAATCCACGTTTTACTCCTGTGTTCTTTTTCTTGTTTTTGCTAGCAATTAATATCGTGAACAAGATACCCATTCACAAATGCCAAGTTCACCATAAAAGCAGATAATTCCATACAGATCTTCCCTACAAGACTGTCTCCAGTTAGTTCTCAAAGTGCCCGATTGTTTGGTGAAGATACAATCCAGGTGCAGAGCAGGGGAGGGGGAAAGACTAAGAGAAAAAAGAAGAGGCAGATAGAAAAGGAGAGACTGAGAGAGAAGAGAGCATAAAAAAGAGAGGGGGGAAATTAAATTTTTTTTTAAAAAAAAAGAAGGAAAAAGGCTGATAAGTGAGGAAGTCTGTGAGCTCTATGACAAGAATCGGAGTCTTGCTTGCAAATCTTCTGGATACATGTAGCCGTTCAAATCTTCCTGGTCCCCAAGTAAAATTTCCAAATCCGGGATGCAGCCATAAGAAAGAATCCTATGTATATTTCACAAGTATCCCGCAATAACAGATCCGACGGGGTTTTCCTTGTACAGTACTGCTATGTGAAAGCACACAACCCCTGCTGTTTGGGAAGGTGTCTCCTGGGTCCTAGCTCTCTTCAGCAGCCCCCAAAAATGATTTTTCAAAAGAGAGTGGGGGGAAAAAAGCAGCTTTGCGTTTGTCTTGAATGATGCTAATCCTGAGCGAAAACGACAAGCAAACCATGAATAGCACGAGATCTTGATTAATAGACACAATCCCCTCAAAATATCCCAGAGAAGAAGGAGCGAAAACAAGAAAGAGAAACTGCAATGCATAAATGATTCCAGTGTTTCTACAAGATCGGTTCATTTGATTGAATGCATTCTCTGGTTTGCTGCAAGTCATAAAGAGGATAGTATTACTGCCACCCAATGGATATTTTAGTACTAGCCAATCCACAGACAGCCACCGCTTTGCGAGTTTTAGTTTGCAGAAGACCGAAGAGGAAGGAGGGTAGCCTGGGAATCTTTTGGAAAAGACCCTAGGATGTATAGAATAAGGGGAATCCGTCCTTCCAGGCAAAGCTGTCTGGGAAATTTGGATGCTTACCCAGTCTTGCGTTAGTCACCTTAGAATTATGGTTCCATTTCTCTAGGAAGCAGAAAGGTACAAAGAGCGATGCCTAGGCTGACACTCATAATAACCTCCTTTTCATTTCTTCTCTTTCAAGCGGATTTATATTGCGCGCGATCGCTCAGTCTGGTTCTGAGTATCACTTTAAGACGGATTTCGAAAGGGAGGGGCGCGCAGGGGCTGCTCCAAATCTCAGGTGGCAAGGTGATAATTGTTTCTAAAGGGCAGTTTTGCAAAGTGCTTGTGTCTGTATTGGTATGTAAACTGTGAGTCCTTCAGGCAGCAAGCCTCCCCCGTGCTGTTTCAGTTTGGGAAGGAGCAAAAATCGTCCCTGAGAGAGTGGGGCTTGGAAGAAGAGTGCTTGTGGAAGGCTCACTGGGAGTGGGGGGTAGGGAGGTGGGATGAGGAGCTGAGAGGAGGGGGTTGAAGAGGATCATCCTCCCACCCACCGTGTAATAGCGTTCCCTACAAAAGAGTTCAGTTCGCTGCGGTTTTCTAAAATGGATTTGTGATGAAGAAAGAGGGACAAAGTACTGGTAAATAAATTAGGATATTGGCTCAGTTTAAGGTCCTCGCCCTTTTACCTTGGGATAGTACACTATACACATTTCATTCTGTGCTTCTCAAAGTTTAATGTATGGAGATCACCAGGGTGTCTCTTTAAAATGCAGATTCTGACTCAATAGGTCTGAAGGGAAATCTGAGAGTTTTTGTCTCTGATAAACTGGTTGGTGGACAATAATAACGCGGTGGGACTACGGACTACACTTGTCATAGCAAGACCCTAAGGAAGTGTTCATATTTGCACTGCCCCCACAATGATTGGATCTGACGGAGAAGTAGGCAGGGCAGAAAGGGTAGAGAAATGCATTTCCAGTCGCCATCTCCATCTCCTTCCCACCCTTTAACATTTCCAGTAACCCCTCCTGCAGTTCCCATTCTTAAAAACCTTAATCCACTTTCCAATGTATTCCACAAGTTTTTATAAGGGAAGCATTAACAGGATAAACCAAAAACAGAAGTATAGGCAAAAACAGCCTTGGCCCTTGAGAATCTAATACATCTTCATTAAATTTAGGGACTAAGACACAAGTTGAAGATGAAGGAAACATTTGCAATTATTAGGTAATATGTGACCTAAACTAACTGCAAGCTAAGTCAGGGCACAGGTGAGGATGAATGAGGGTTGGTAGACTAGAAAGGGAGGAAATCTGCATTTTGAAAAAATGTACATTAAACTAAACTTTCCAGTCCAAGCAGAGGGAAGATGTGGTTAAAGTGTGCAGGAAAGTGTTACATGATTTCTCTGAAGGAACTCACCCAGATTAACCTCCTGTGTTCTCTTATAGCTGATCCTTTCCAACATGCTATAAGTCAGTAATATGAAGACAAGAGGTAAGAAGGAATTCCTCTCCCAATGAGTGATCCATATTTTCTACACCTTCTAGCACAGACCTTTTGCTGACCAACTTAAGTGAAGAACTAGACCTCAAATAGACTGGAGGGGACACAATTAACAAAAGTTGCTTGAGTAAAAGTCCTGGACTGTAGGCTCAAATCCTATATTTGAGTCTAAATCCTACTTCTAAGTAGCTGTAATTACCCATGGGGATCATTAATTTTTCTTAGCTTCAGTTTCCTTGTCTATAAAACGACATCTGAAAACTGTTGCCAAACTGTGTTCCAGTTCCATAAGGGTCAAAATTCAGTCCTCTATCTGCAGTGCTTCTACAAGTTTGTTAATCTACACAGAGCACACATTGAAACTGGTACCTTCACATGGGCTGCAGAGAGCATCTATTGCCTTAAAGACACAGGTGAACATTTGACCATTTCAATCCTATTGCTAGAGATGAGTTAAAATGCTTTCTCTTCAGATCCAGAAAGGGAAGTGTTTGTTTGAATGGGAGGTGAAGCATTGTCTATTCCTGGATCCTACAGAGCCAACTGTGGGCCTCGCTGTTTGTTGCCATGGGATCCTCTTTGTGCGAACTGTCTTGAACTGTGTGGGAACATTTTCCTCTTGCCTCCCTTCAGCTCCCTCTCTAACTCTTCTGAAGATGTGTGTCAGAACAAGATGTAGCTGCATTATTGCCAATTAAGACTAACAGCAGCTGCAAGGTGCATCTAATTAAGAATTTTAATTACTTCACGGAATTCTCATTTGCAGATGTTTAGAGCTTTAAACAATGCATTGTAATTTTATTTTAAAATATGAAGAAAGCTGACCTCCCTCCAAAAGGGGAAGAAGTATAGGATTCAATCATGGGTGTTAAAAAAAAGCCTTTGACATGGGAAGTATGTATATACCTTGACACATTATTTGACAATATGCAACATTATATTCAGGATAAAGAAATAATGTGCATATCCATAAGTAGGCTTTTTTCCTAAATTAAAAAGCAAGTAAATATCAAAACACAAAAAAAAATTAATAATTTGTTACTCAAGTAGGAACCTTGTAGGTTGCATAGTTCTCAAATGTACTGTTCTTTTCTTTGCCAGTAACAGTATAGTTAATAGTAAGTTTGGCACAGCAGTATGGGGATTGTAGGCTGCAATGCAAAGCATTATGGGGTTTGTAGTAAAAACTGGCTGCAGATCAATCCATGCTTGTAGCTTTTCTCTGTTGAAGAAAGTGCTCTTTTATTCTCTGATAATAAGAAGAGTACCATGATATTTTACATCAGATTAATGAAATGAAGTTGGTACTACCAGAGTTTAGCTACAATAATATTCTGACTGAGGAGGAGAATATAATAACATCTACTTTATAAGGCACAAAATAACCTGAGTGAGCTATTCCCTAATATTACTTTATGATAGCTGAGGTTTAAAAACTACATTCATTGTTTTAGTAGTAAAAAAGCAAGGACCTATTGAATTTGGTGTTTATGAAAGAGAATTGTGAACACAGGAAATGAACTCAAATTCTTATTGATTCTACCTTTAGAAATTGGTAGCCTAAGTTTAACTTTCCACATTTCACATCATTCCCCAGTGAAGTAGAAGAGAGTTTTATTTGACCTACCTTTTTAAGTATATTGTTAAATAAAATTGCTCTGAATATTCAGAGAAGCTCTTTTTTATAATGAACTCTTTAAGGTTAGAATATCCTCAAAGCTTGAAAATATGTCTAGAGTGGGGTTTTTTCATTCAATTTAAGTTTAATTAATTTTGGATAGAAATATATATATATTAAGAAGTTGTAATTCAGTTTATTTTTGTATGCAGATGATTCTATGTAAATAAATACACAATTTACAGAAGTTTTGATTTAACTCTGTTGGCAATTTAAACATTTTTGTGTGATGTGAATTAAAGTCTAGCTCCTCGGAAATGCTGCATGAAATCAGCCCACTTTTGTTATGAAGGCTAAAATACACCTCTTCAAAGTCTCTCCCATCTGTGAAAGTCCCCATTATCATGCTAAGTTACTTAGGTGTTTTATACCTGAGGTTGCTTCTTTTTCTCTTTCTCTCCTTAAAGAGGCCTCTATCCACAAAAAGCCTCGCTAAAGCAAACTATTATTACAGACATGAATAAATGCAAAATCAAGTACCCTTCATTTTCAGGCCTTTTGCCAGCGAAATTCATTTGAACCCACCACTACATATTCTCAAATGAGGTACAGACAAAGACTTGAGCATTTCAGCAAAATTCCACCATAAAGTTCAGGAATAATAAAGATTGTTATGAAAAAGCAAACAGCAACAGGAAAGAAAAATGCCATGCCTGCTTTTCTTTCAGATTTCTAAGTTTTGAATCATAAAAATATACAAATATATATCTTCTTGAATGCAGTTTACATTATTGTTCATACTGTGAATATTTCTTTTATGGTCATAAAAATAAAAGCAATGCCCCAAATGAAACACTATGTACATAAGCGATGCAAATGCATCCCCGGTGGAAAGCCGGCTGGCTGCTGGTGGGAGGGTATATTTATACAGTGCCTTTCATTTGGAAGGTTCCCAAAATGATTTGCAAACTGTATGTAGAGGAATTGCTCACCATGGAAATTCACCCACTTCCAGGAGAGAATGCAGAAGTCATTCCATGCTGACAATCAGTTTAAATAAAACCACAGAACAGTATTTCATGTGGGTAAAATATTAATATTATAATTGATTTGAAAAATGTGCACCAAAAACCCACTATGTGCCAGGCATTGTTCAAGGTACTGGGGGTATTGTTGTCATTATATCTAGTTAGGTTCCCTGCTTTTCTAAAGCTTATATTTTATTGAAATCTGACCCCAGAACTTTGGAGTTAAAAACCCTGTTTCCTGGTGAATTTCTGATCTCTGCATATAGTTCTACTGAAATAGAACACTTGCTACTTTTTTGTGTTTATTTATATCGAGATTCATGATATCCAGGACACATGACCTATGGTAATACCTTCCACTTTAGATTGAATACACAAAAAATAGCTTCAGATATATGGTTGAAGCGGATAATACAGCAATAACATTTCCTGCGTTGAATGATTTGGGAAGTGGTAGGATAGAATTCATACTCTTCTGGGTTTGGTAAATTAAATGAAATAGTATTGATGTAAATATATGGAAGATTGCTTCCTCTGAAGTGATTCAGGGCACTTCATGGTGATTAAGGCATGAAGAATAGTTTGGTGAAGGACAAGAACAGTGTGAACAAATGTTTCAGAGTATAAAGTATAGAATCAAATTACAGTGTCTCCTAAATTAACCAGATGATAAATATTCTTCAAATGAAA